AATTATTTTCTTCTGTCTTTCGATTACATTTTCTAAATCACTTGGATTATAATTATCAAAATAGATTTGTTCTTTTTCATCATCTACATGTAGTTCATCCCTAATATATTTCTTTACTTCTGTAAAAGTTGGGTCATTATGAACGCTGGGGGAAAATATAAATATTCTTGCAAATGAATTTCTATAAACATTTAAGATAAGGTTCTGAACCAATACTGTTTTTCCACCGGTCGAACTGGCAACTATAATACTTCTAAATGGTAATTTTGGCACGTGCTCATATTTAGATTGTTTGAATTCATATTCAGTTATGTTTATTGGCTTTATTATTGGAACATCTGACATAATAAAATAATATTAAAGTTATTTAGAAAATATTTTATATTTATTATTTTATATGAATAGAAGCTATTCAGATTATATTGATATAATAGATGAAGTAGAGAATTTAGAACAAGTTGTTATAACTGATAATAGATGCAAGAAAATATGCTATTTTGTTTTAGAAATAATTAAGTTTGTGATACAATATATCAAAAATAAAAATGTAAATATTAATATAAATGGGAAGAAAGAAAAAGAATAAGACTGAACCAGTTGAAGAAACAACTGATGAAGAAAAAGAAGAAATTGTTAAAGAAACATCAGTTATTGAGTTTGCTTGTCCAATGTGTAAAAAGGTGTTAGAAATGAAAAATGAATTAGAAATACAAAAGAAAGGAAACTGTAAATGTTCGTGTATTCCGACAAGTTTCAAAATAAGTAAAAATGATAAGAAAATGAATATTGATAAAACTAAAGACAGTATAAATCTGGAAACAGATGTTCATAATATTGCTATTCACTTTGGGAGGGGGGTTATTCCATCCGAGAATGGCGATAGGGAAACACAGGAAACTATACGCGAAATGATGAAAAAATAATAGTTAAAATTATTTCTATTATTATTTATAATGCAAGATGTTATAAATAATATTATTAAATTCATTGATGTAAAAGAATTGAAATTAAATAATTTATTGAAGAATATAACGAAAATGATATATTAATTAATTTTGTTAATGACTTTAGAAATAGTAAAATTGATTTTAACATGTTTTATAATTCTATTAATTATGCTGATTTATTTGAACAATCACATTTGAAATTTTATTGTAAAAGAATATATTCATATACTTTAAGATTTATTGCTAATTATGATAATAAAAATGCTATTCAGTTTTATGAAATTACATTGAGAAAAATGAATAATATTTACAAAAATAGTAACATTAATGTTGTTAATGTGTTTGAATGTATTAAATGTTTAATAATTTATATTACAGATAATATTGAAAAGTTTCATAAATATTCAAAATTTAGAAAAACTATTATTTGTAATTTAATTGGTAAATTGAATAATAATTTAACGAGTTACACAATAACTAATTTTGAATTGACTTATAATGATATATGATTTTGTAAAATAAAAGTTTAGTTTTAAAAGTTTTATTTTATAATATAATATATATATTTACATGGATGAAGGATTAGAAAAGATTGTTAAAAAACTGAACAAGGTTTTAGAACAGAATAAGAATATTTTAGAAATCTTGCAAGAAATGGAAAAGAAGAAACCTTTAACAAACAGTTATCAAAGTAAAGAAGTAGATAGAACCAATGGTGAATATAAAAATAAAGGAATATTTATTTAAACAAACTTAATAACAAAGAAATTAAAGAACCGAAGGCTTCAACTATGACATTTTATCAAATCGACTATGATGAAGATACAGGGATTTATTCTTGATTGAAAACATTTTTCTCTGAAAATCCGTTTAAAGACATATTGGCATAACTAATATTATGAGTTCTACAGATGACGAAGAAGAAACAGGATGCACAATGGTTTATCATTGCAGTAAATGCGACGAAGCAAAGCCAAGAAAGGATTTTCACAAAATGTATGATAGAATTAAAATGGAAGAGATATTTTACAAAACATGTAAGGAATGCAGAGACAAAGTAAAAGCAACAAAAGAGTTAAGGAAGGAACAGAAGAAACGAATACAACCCATGGAAATACATAGATTAAAGCCTTTAATACCATAGTTTTACTATACTTACAACATGTAAGATCTTATATGTTGTAATTGTAGTATAGGTTTCCCGTATAAGCCGTGGTGGTGCTTTCCTACCTAGGCCTTTCCCATCCGCATATTGCCATTCAATGTCACACAGATTATTTTCAAGATTTGGGTTAACGGTTTTAATTCTCCCTTTCCATTGGTTAACCACTTTTCGGGGAGTGATAATCGACAATGTGTTATTTGGATGGGAAAGGTTGGGTTTATTCATTTTTTAGGTATGTAATCTTGAAAGATCATTTAAGGAAATGTATTCATAACATAGTATGGAGAATTCAGAGTGTAGCAGTTGTAGAGTCAATAAACCAATTACTGAATTTAACGGGTTCAAGACATGTAATAAATGTAGAGCGAAGAAGCGAGAGAGGACAGCGAATAATGGATATTTGTATTGTCATGTTTGTGAAAGAAGAGTGAACCCAGAGATTTGGGATTTCCACTTGGTTGGAGGTTGTCACCAAGACAATATGCTCAAACATCTCAAGGCAGATTATCAGAGATTAGTTGAAGAAGCACCTACACAAGAATTCAAGGACAAATATTTTCAAGAAGGTCAAGAGAGGATACAGGAACTCAAAATGACAATGCCTTTGTATAATCCAGCTTTGAGAAGAAAGAAAGTTGTTCAGGGGAATTTTGACGAATTGGACTAAAAAATGAAGTTAATCATTAGAATATTATTTTTCTAATGATTAACTTAGAGGGTTGTTCAATTTGGTGGTTTTGAATGGTGTAATTTGATAGGTGTATTTAAAAAGTGCTTGAAAGTGTGGGGGGGGGGGGTAGGACAATGCGGACGGGAGAGGCCAACTCTAACCGAAAGAACCTTTTGGATGTGCGTCACATCTTGCGGCGCACAGGACGCAATGTGGGCCCAGCTTTTGGAAACACATTTGCTTTTCCAATTATACAAAGCTACAAGAAGGTGATCAACCGTTTTCTCACAGCTCTTGGAGCAAGCCTGTAGGATGCATAACTTCCATTTGCATAAGAGCATGTTTTTTGTTATTATTATTATTATTTTGCACTGTTGGTTTTTAATCGGAATCTAGCACTAATCGAAATATGTTTATTTTTTTCCAGGGGTCTTAAGCACATGGAAGATGCAGTCGGCTGGAAAAGGTGATGTTGCAAGCCCAAATCTATCAAAAGAGCCTGCTGGAGCTTCTGCTGAGTGTTCCGTTGCTTTCTGGAAAATGGGTTCCTCGGGGGTTTGGTGAAAGGGGCTAGCCCACTTCTATACCTCAGGGGCAAAGAGAAGCGAGCTTGACGATTCAACCCTCTGTGAACTTAGACTCTCCATGTTTCTTTAAACATGGGGTCATTACCCAAAAGAAAGATTCGGGTGATGACCAACCATTTTTGAAGGGTCAGCGAGTCCAAGGAACACCATTGTTTAAGCCTTGCCAGACTTCGCTACAACAGCAACAAACACATGTTGCCGTTTTGGTGTCCTCCAAACCCCTTTCAAGAAGCGCCATGTTATCGTTGTGCGTTGCTTGGCCACGTAAACGCCTGTGCAAATGCCCATGTTTGGTTTCCCCGATTTCCCCATCGGTGTTGGTGATAGCCACAGTTTTGCTCAGTTCGGTGGGTTTCTGAGCCCACTTTGGCGGCATTGGGCGTCCACATTGCCTCACCCTTGCCCTTGCAAAAGTGAATCAACCTGAATTGACCTTTTGGCTTTCCGGCCAGACGCAAAAGTGTGACTTTTTGCCGCATGGGTCTTGAAGAAAGGTATTGGGCTACATTGCCTTCTTCTTTTGAGAGTACCCCTTTTCTGTGGCTTAAAGCAACGACAGGAAAGCCACCTTTTTGGCGGGTGTCTAACAAGAGACCCCACATTGGGCTGGCCAAACTGTCCTTGGGTCTGAGATGCCGGGTTGTCCACTGCAGCTGGGTTCTGCATTGGGAATTATGGGCCTCTGGGCAATTTCTGGGGTCTCCGTCAAGTTTACGTGGGCGTGTCTGGTCTTAAAGTTTTGGTTTGATGGGGGGAAAACACTATGTTGGGGGGTCCGCTTAAAACAGACACACCCACGTAGTATTGTAGGGCAGACGAAGTATGGATGTACGGTGTACCCCAGTTTTGGGCAATGTATTGAACAAGCACGCTTAGTCACCCCGAAAAACAGTGGAGGCGTGATGCCGGGAACTGGCGGTACAAACTTGAAGCGTCGAATGCGGTAAGGAACAGAACAGCCATGGAGCCCGTGGATTCAAACAAATGACGGGGGCAGATTTCAGGAAGGAAGTGAGCAAGCCATTTGGTTGGCACCTGGAATGGAAGGAATGTTCGATGGATACTGAGAGAAACCACCAGTTGCTAAGCGGAGATTTGATCCACAGGTACTTCTGGAGTCCTGGCGTTTTCCATTTGCTTAACCCTAGGAGCCCAAGACCTCGTTGTTTGAGGCCGCAATGGGGATCAAAGGCCTGTATTTTAGGGTCCAAGGGGCTCCTAGGGTAAGAATAGTTTGTTTATTTTCCCCTGTTGGTTTCAAGGGGACCTATCACTACTGGAATTATGATTAGTTTTTTTTCCAGGGAGCGAAAAAGAACATGGAAGTCACGACCACCTTGTTAAGGGTCAGAAGGAGACTCCAAGTATCAACTGAAATCCGGGATCAAGTCTGGGCTTCCTGGCCTTTTAATGTTCGATTCGCCCAGGCTTCTGGATTTGCGTGCTTTTTTGAGGGTATCCGTTGTATTGTTGGTTTCAAGGGACATCACAAGGCATCAATTCGGGCCCAGGTTAGCTGGTTTTGGTCTGAACCTTCCTGGCAGCCCCAAAAAAGGCAAGCACCAAAACCAAAGAAAGAAAACAAAAACATCAGTCATCGGGAGAAAAACATATTTCCCGAGAATCGACAGGCAAGGTGTGCCTCTCCATCCTTCACACCTGGCCTGGGCCCAGCTGGAACCCCTCCTTCACCTTGCGGGTGGTGGTGCTTCAGCTCCAGGTGGGGTCAGTGACCCAAAGATACCGGAGAACTTCACTTTTGGATTTCCCCAACAAAGGGAAGCCCCTGTGTTATTCGTCGACCTGGGGGTAGTCCATGCCGTGGATGGCTTCTGCTGGTTTTCTTTTGAAACCATCCAAAAGGGGTACTCAAAGTGTCGGTGGCGGTGGAGGAGGGCCGGCAGAAGAACGTCCTGGAGCTGTTTGAGGAGTTCCCCTCGATGGACCAGTTTTTCCGCCATGGGAATAAACCATAACGGTATTTATGGAAACGGATTTCGTCCATCCACAGTATCACTTCCCGAGTTGGACTTTAGTCACTTTGTGGGTTTGGTGACCGTTTCAGTGCTACGTACACAAACAGTGTGGCTACTTGTCTTGGCCAGTGCACTTCATCCAACCCCCAAGCCAATCCTGAAAAGCTATCCCAAACCAACCCCAAGAACATATTTTACCTTGATGGATCTCTGGGACCTTGTGTTGGTTTGTTTTGGCATCATAGCCAAAAAGCTCCTTGGGGCATCGTTTGCTTGAGATCCCTGATGGACATGTTTATGTTGGTTCTTTTTGGATCCGGCCCAGAAATGGCCCGGTGGTTGGGATGCTAGGCTGCCCTAGGAGCCCAACACCTCATTGTTTAAGGTTTTTGGGGGGTCAAAGGCCCTCATATTTGCGGTTTGGGGCTCCTTTGGCTACCAGAAAGGTTCTCAACCCCAAAACCCGATAGTCCGAGAACCTAGCCCAAAAAAGGCATCGTGTGCTTAAGATACTCGATAGATCTGTGTCTTATTGTTATTGCTCTTTGTCTCTTGTTTGGGATCTAGCCAAAAAAACCCAAGGGGATCGTTTGCTTCAGATCCTTGATGGATCTTTGGGGAGTCTTTGTTTGGTCCGTGTTTATTATCTAGCCAAGCAGCTCAAGGGGATAGTTGCCTTCAGATCCTTGATGGACCTTTGGGACTTTTTGTTTGGTCCGATTTTGGTATCTAGCCAAACAGCCCAAGGGGATGTTCTGCTTAAGATCCTTGATGTATCTCTTGGACGCTTTGTTGGTTCGTTTTAGGAATCTAGCCAAACAAAGTCAGGGGGATCTATCTTTTGGACTTTGTTTGGTTTCGTTGTTGGGAAGGGAGCTTTCGCCTAAGATCCTTGACGGATCTTTAGGCGACTTCTAGCTGTTGGGGGGATCTTGAAGATCTATTGGTTATACCTAGAGTCTCCATGACCCTTAAAAAATGGGGTCATTGCCTAAAATTAAGGGGTCATGACCCCATTTTCTAGGGGTCATGGAGACTCTAGATATCCCTTTCTGGGATTTTTAGGATCACTCCCAGACACGACATACCTTGCCGCCCTTTTCGGCGATTTTTTCGCGTTTCTCCATCAGTTGTTCAGTGGCTCCTTTTTTTCTGGTGGCTGCCCAAAATGGTCCAAGCCCCAAAAAGGGTTCCCTTTTTTGTCCAGGGTGACTGAACAACTGAGCATTTGGGGTAGAGCGGAGGATGAGTCAAGTCAGTTCCACCCAGAAAGGGTCAGGGCAGACCCCAAATTTTCTCTCTCGCACGTCCACAGCCAGCAAGCTTGACGACATTGTCTTTGCCAGATGGCGCTGCGGTCATCTTTTTAACGACCTGTTCAGGAATCCTAGTTTGAGGGAGTTCTCAGGCTCTCCCCCATCACAATGAACATGATGACTGGCCGGCCAAAAATCAGAAGAACCTTGACTTTTCGGCGCAAGATCAGCCTTGTGACTATTTGGCAGAATGGGCACATCTGGCTGACCGTGAAACGTGCTGCCTGACGAAACAAAATAATTGGAGGGGCAATTCCTAAATCAACCTTAGAGACCCTCCTTTTCCGGTCGCACGGGGTTGTGACCTGAAGGGAAGCCAGATTTTCTGGGGTACAGTTAGGGTGCGCTTGTTGGTAGAAAGGGCACCAAAACATATTCCATTTGCTTAAAATGTTCTTTTCGCCTGTTCTACTGGAAATCACCGTATGTGTTTTGTTTTTGGCTTGAGAATATTCGTTCTTTCCCAATTCAGGGAATCGATCACGGACTGGACATGGTTTATTATTTTGTGCTGGGACGTATTTGCAAATGGAGGGATATGGCCTGTGGGGCTCGCATTATTTGGGTTTGGAGGGAAAATCGGCAGCGCCGAAGCACCCGTTTTTCGCTCGTCTCGCCAAACCCGAGCCGAAGAACAAGACGTTCTTTTGGAGTAGGTGTTCTTTTTGAAGTTCTTTTACAAAGCCGGAGCATCTTTGCATCTACCTGCATTTGCCCCACCCACTAGTTGTTGAATTGGGGTTATATTGATCCCTATATGATATAACCCATTGCTTCCAGTTTCCATGCTAGTAGGTAACCTGGGCAAGCCATCATGTAGCACCCAGAGGGAACAATACCTGGTTACCTACTTTAGTTGTAACGGGAAGCACTGGGTATATTCCCCCCCCCTCCCGGCCCGCGGAATTTCGGCGTTCAGGCCCTGATGAACGAGATGCCGGCGCTGAACGAGCCGGGGGTGATGATCATGAGCAACCCCGAGGCCCAAACTAGGGGGGTGGTTGGACGCCAGACAGGTGAACTATGGTTTTTTGTCCAAGAAATCCCCCCCTAAGATGGCGGTCCGCCTTGGTGTCCCTGTAAACCAGCCCAAAAACAGGCACACCCTTTTCTAGCGACTGGAATATTTTTTGGGCGACACATTGGGTTGCGAGCCTATGTCTTGCTGATGGCGGCTCCGCGTGGCTATTCATATTTTAAGGTTCACTCAACTTGGACCAGAATCAACTTGTTACTTTTGGTCGGCGGGCAAGCAGGGATAGTTTTGGCGTCTTCCCCAAGCTTGGTGCACAGACCAACCCTCACCCAGAAGGAAAGTAGCCTTCCAGCCAAGTGCACATGCGCACTTCCATGTTTGTTCGAGTAACGCAACGGCAGTCTTGTTTTGTTTTGGCCATGATTTTGGCATTCTGTCAGCGAAAAGTGATCTTTTCCAGATTCCGGCCAGCGAGAATAGCACCGAGTTCGCGCAGTCAGATGGTGCCTCGCAAAATACGGCGGCCACGCTGCTTACGTAGAACCGCATCAGAACTGGGGAGTAGCCATTTGATTGGCCCTAGAGTCTCCATGACCCTTAAGAAATGAGGTCATTACCCAAAATAAAGGGGGTCATTACCCCACTTTTTAAGGGTCATGGGTAGACATGAGTTAAAACCGGATATTTTTTGGAAGTGCGCCCAAGTCCTGTGAAGCCTCTTGACATCAATGGGACGGACTTGATTTGCACAATGGTCTGTAAGCTCATTCTTTCTGGACACGTCCTGCCAACTTTCCGGCCTTTCCGGCAAGAAGTATAAGTCAGAAGGGTGGCTCAAAACTAAGCAGGAGGGGCAAACCGCAGGTTTTGGTCCATGTTTCCACTTACCGATCGGGTTCCATTTTGGAATTCCGGTTTTTCGAGCCACAGCCATGCGAGTTGCAGAAGGCTTCTCGCACCTTGAAAGCAGGGAGCGATGCTCGGGAAGCGATCAGACGGCAGGATTTGTCTCATGGGGGACCCGAGGTTGAGTTCCTTTGGTTTTTGGCCTTGAAACCAACCACAAGGAGGTTTCCCTGAGAAAAAAGAAAAGAACACCGTACCCAAGAAATCTCGGTTGCCCTTTAGCAACAAAGACGAGGTGCCCAAGAAACCGCCTTGACCCGGGCACCCCCGGGAGTTGTTTTTTTCTTTGTCCAGCTGGGCATCCTCTGTGTGGCCGGTGTGCCATGGCGACCGTCACAATTGGCATGGCCGGGCGCGTGGTGATCAGCGCAGAGGAGTTTGAGGAGTGGTGGGACGAGCAGCAGGATGGCCGCGCGGGCGGCGCGTGCTTCTACGACGCCTTGAGACTTGTCTGAGTCTGTCGCCACATCATTGATCTTGCTCTTTAAGCTGTGCCCTGATTTTTGTTGCACCTGGAGTGTTCGCAAGTCAACAAGGGAGGCGATGACCCCCTGAAAAAATGCTTGCCACACGCCCCAGTTTTTGTTTCTTCTAAACGTCAGGAGGAGACGTCCCGTTTTCGTTTGCCGCGGATGTCCCCCGTTGTCCTCTCCGTCTATTTGCTTAATATGTTATAATTAAAATTATTATTATTAGTAGTATTATCATTACTATTATTATTATTATTGTCATTATTATTTTCCCTTGTAGGTTTTATCGGGACTCTATCACTACTGGATTTTTTATATATTTTTTCCGGGGGGCGAACAAGCAAATGGAAGTCTCCCAGGCGCCGGGAGGTGGCCCGCAGGGAGCGGCTGCCGAACTTCCGGCAGCTGCAGCTGGCCGGCGCCGACGCGGCGCTGGGCCCGGGGAGCGACTGGCAGCGAGGCCTGGGCGCTGGGACGGCGGTGACGGCGGTGAGGCGGCAGCTGCTGAGCACCAAAGGCGCGCTGGGGACAAGCTTGGGGGTGTTTAGGGGTCTAGGGTTCAACAGTAGTGACCTTTTTTGCCCTTTTTTGGGGGCGAGTACAGAACAAAGGGTACCCTTTCTAACCTTTCTACTGGAGGACCTAAATTTGCACCTGTTTCCGGGTCGCCCCGAACCACCCCGGAGCCTATCGGGGCTGAGACCCCAAAGCTTTCAGCTGTTGGGAAAAGGAGTACCCTTATTCTAACCTCTCTAGTTCGGGTCCCGGGTTTGTCCCAGATCGGTGCGTCTTGTTCTAGGGAATGTTGATTGATTCCTTGCAACCATCCGTGTTCCGAGTTCCGAAGCCAGATCGGGGGTGTCTAGGGGTTGATATTCCATGTCCTTTCAATAGGGCTCCTTAAAAGATACATTTTGCCCATTTGAATCATGATGGTTTCCACCAAAATAAAGGGAAACCACCATTAACAAGGCAATGTTCAGGTGTATAATGTAAGGATCCCTGTTTCAACCATGGTTCTGGTCAAAAACCGATCGCCGGTTGGTTCTGGGGTTCTGAAGGGTTAGAAGGATGGGAGTCCCACCTGTCCCTGAGCAAAGGCCCCTCAAAAAAGAAGCACCCAGGTTTCTCTAAAAGGGCGGTTTCAGACAGGCCTTGCTGGGCGAATTTGATGTGGCTTTCCGTTTTTGGGTGATCCGGAAAGGAAGGATATTTGGAGCCACCTGCTCCATACCCTGACCGCTGAGCAGTTCCCAAACCGGGTGAGACCTAGCGAAGCCGAATTGAAAAGTAGGCCCGCAGAGAGGTACCCAGTGATTCCATGTCCCTGTCAATTCCAACAGGAGAATTGTTGGTTGCCCAATATCAGCTTCCTTCTAATTGGTGGCTTGGATTGGTGGCTTCCCATGTACCCTCTACAAGAACCAGGGCTCAAATCCCCAAAGACTTTCAGGCAGACACCTATGACTTTGCAAAATTGTTCATCCTGAGGATCTGGAAAGAGCTATTTGCCTACGCAGAGGCTGAATTGAAACGGGGTGCCACACCACCACTCCAAACCACCAATTTTTAGGACCACCTGATTATATAATATGGGCGACATGCCGGGGATCCCGTGGGGTGCTGCTGCCTTATGGAAAGTGGCTTCGTGACTTCCATTTAGTGAAATTAATACTGTCCCCTGTTGGTTTTCAAGGGAGTCGATTTCACTACTGGAAGTATTTTTTTTCTCCAGGGGTCTTAACCAATTGGAAGGAAACTGACATGGGTCTATGATTTCCGGAATGTTTTTTTTTTTTTTTTTCCCAGGGGACTTAAGCAAGTGGCTTCGGGAGGCATGGAGTTGCTGGAGTCCGCCAGACAGGGGAACGCCGCAGAGGTGATCTCGCTCTTGGAGGAGCCCCAGAGTCCCGAGCAAGAGGAAGACGGTGACCCAGTGGCCCAAGGCAGTCCGTTTTTTTGGGGTGTTTGTTTTGGGGGTGTGTTTGTTGTTGTTTCTTTGCTTTTCTTTCTTTTTTGGCGGGGGTCCCTTCAAAGTGATGTGTTTGAGGGGAGTTCCCTTGAAACTCAACTACCAACGTGGCTGCCCTGTGGTTTTATAGGGACATCCAGGCTGAGGTAAGGGGTGGACGCCTCTGCATGTTGCTGCCATTGCTGGTCATGGAGAGGTGGTGCGAGCCTTGCTGGACGCTGGTGCTGACATCGAGAAGTCCAACACGCACGGGACCAGACCCATCCACATGGCCGCCGACAGCGACCAAGCAGAGATCGTGCAGTGCTTGCTGGAAGCATGGCCAGACGGATGGCTTACCCAGTTGCCCAGTGGTAACCTTTGTTGTTTTTTTGGGGAAGGGTTCCCCTTTAAAGTCAACCAACCAAAAAGGGATGCCTTTTTTTCCCATGGCCACTGGGCATCTGAGATTACCTTTTTTACTTGTTTGCTTGTTTGTGTTCCGCCATTGTCCCTTTCAATGTTCGCAACAAAATTAAGAACTATGTCCGGTCAAGGAAGCTGGTGCTGACAAGGACGTGACCAACATGTTTGGTTTCACCGCCATACATTTTGCTGCCATGAAGGGCCATCAAGAGATTGTGCGTTGCTTGCTGGAAGCTGGTGCCGACAAAGACAGAGCCGACATTCATGGGAACACACCCATGCGCAGTGCTGCAATGAACGGCAATGAAGAGATTTTGCGTTTGTTGCTGGAAGCTGGCGAAGACAAGGACAGGGCCGACATTCAGGCGCACGCACAAGTGTACAGTAACGGGAACAAAGAGTCCGTGGACAAGACCAGCAGTGACAGAGTGGCAGAGTGACACCGATGCAGTTCGTTCATCCTTGCTCCAATGTTTGGCCATATTGAAGGGTGCGCTTTGTACTCCGAAACGCCGGAGTTGACTTCCATGGAGAGAAGAGGCTGGTCCTTGGTGCGACCAAATCGCCCCAAAGAAAGCGTGTTGGCAGAACGCATGGCTTACATCTGCAAATGGTCTTGATCTTTGCGGCCAGAAATTTATGGGCCGGTGCTTTGTCTCCTTCGGAGTGATGCAATTCACGTAGCCTTCGGATCCTTCAGATTCCGCGGATGGATTCCGGCCTCGATCCGGCGAAGATTCCTGCGACAGAATTCGCAGCGATCGACATGAGAGCTTCAGGATTTGCTCCGATACAGCGGAAACAGGCGGTTCACCGGGCCAGATGCCGGGCGTGTTGCCCTGTAGGGAAGCCTTCATTCTTGTCCTGTGGCGTTTTTAGGGTCGTTCCCTAGTAAACAAGTAAATGGATCCACTGGGTGGAAGTTGGCCAACAGTATGCGTTGTGAGGGCGATGTGGCAAAGTCCTAGAGTTGCTTGCTTTCTGGGAATAAGCCATTTGTAGGTTTAAGCTCTCAGGACTCACACGTGGGTTGCGATCCCAGGTACCTCTTCCCTTGCTCGTCCCATAACCGTGCAGAACCCGTGCGCGAGTTTGTTCAGGGCAGGAAAGGGCAGTCGGCAGTGCTCATTGGCCATCGGACTTTTATGTTGAGCCCCATAGACCCTCCCCAAAAAGAATAATGTTGACCCCACATTAATCAGCCACAGATTCTATTTGGGGGATGTTCCCCTCCAAAAGTGATTATTCCTCACTAAAGCCTGAGACACCCCCCCTATTCACAAACTGGGGTTGGTTAATATGCGGTCAGCACCTGGACCCGAAGAAGCTACCCATAAGGGAACTCGTGAACCAAAACTTTGGGGCAGGTTGCCCCGTTTTTAAGTTGGAATTGTGAGGGTCCAGGTATACCAATCTTGGGTCGTCCAAAACGGTCGTTGAATTGAGAATATAAAAGGGGAAGACCGGAAGACCTTTCGGTCTCAGTGTTGGACGGTTCAGCGATGGGAACCGAGGAACTCTCCAATCCAGATTCTCGGACGTTATGAAGACCCCCGACCCCTCAGGGGCGTTCAAGAACCAAGCCATGTCGAGGGCCCCTAAAAGATCGGGAACCTTAGGGAACAATTCCTCAGTTGTTCAGTGGCACCGAGTCTCTTTTTCCAACTGTTTTTTTCTTCTGGTGGCTGCCCCACTAAAATGGTCTTCCCCAAAAAGGGTTCCCGTTTTTGTCCAGGGTCACTGAACAACAGAGTTTCAGCCCCGAGTCAAGGGCCCTCGAATGTTAGAGGGCGCCCACCGTATGACTCGCCAGGCTTTGTCATCCGTCCAGATTAAGAAGGTTACGTTTACTCTTTGACTTGTGCCACATGTCCAGATACGTCACCAACCGCACAAAGCCTCAGACCATCCTCAAACCGCCAGTCGCCTTAAGACTCCACCCGCCCTGAACAACCCCAGCCCTTAACCGCCCCCTCCCACCCCCTGGCCGTCCAAACCGTTTGGGCGGGGGTCCATGAAACTCACCAGTCGGAAAAGATCGGTCCGGCTAAACTGAGGAGCATACCGAACTGCGTCCCTTTCTTTCCCAGAGAAGGACTTCAGAATAGTGGGAATCCTCGAATCTTGCTTCCCGAGTGCCTGGACTTTAAGCTTTTTGAGAAGACCATTTAACTTCCCCAGAATTAGCTCCCCTCGTTGTTGTTTTTTTCTTTTTGGGGGTCCCTTTGTTTTCCACTAACCAGGCAAAAAATATACAAATTTTGCTGGGGTGCTAATTCCAGCCTAGTCTAGCGGTAAGTAAGAAGCTCAGACTTGTTTAGCCAATCCCCATAGGAACTGAGGCATGCATTTTGTTTTTTGTTTTCCCAAGGCTACCGAGCCTGCAAAACCACACCCCCCACTTTTTTGGGGTTGCAGGAACTTGCCAGTGTTGAAGTTTGTTCTTGTTGGGGTTCTAGGTCCGATCCCGTTCTCAGGAGAACAAGCACGAAAACTGAAAACGAAGCACTGAGGAAAGAAGAAAAAACGTGCTTGTACCTGGAGGAGACCATGACACTAAAAAAATGGTTGGTCATAATTATCCGAAGGATTGTTCTGGGTAATGAGCATATCCGTGTTTTTGAAGGGTCCTCGGAGACAGGTTGGGCCCAAGCTCCCAGGAGCTGCGAGTCTGTTTGTCTCCATGTTTTGTTCAGATGCCGCCCGTGTTGTTCGGTCCGGAGCCCTTCACCGGGACACACTACCAACCACCCCCAAGATAGGACCAGGCCACGCCTGGTGGCTTTTTTTGGTTTATTCTCAGGGGCTAGTCAAAGATGTGTTGTTCATATTGTTGTTGTTTTTTGATGTTCATGCAAACAACAAAAAACAACTGGTTGATGTTCATCAAAGGTGTTTTTCCTTTTTGAGTGCATGGGGAGTTTTCACCTAAGAACACCACGGCGTTTTCGTATCCGGCGTCAACAGTACACGTATATCCTCCCAAATTGTTGGGTTTCCCTTTGATGTCCCTTACCAACCGCACAAAGACAAACCATCAAAGGAAAGAACAGAATCGTGTCGCCAGCGACTGGGGGCTCCTGTTCCTAGACTGGACTCTTTTTGGAAGACCATTTTACTGTAGTGGCACTCAACAAGTTGGGACTTGTTGTTGGCCCATCCGCTCAGATTCTGCCCACACAAGGGGGGGCCCTGCTCTAGTGCTGTTGGGTTGGTTCTTTATAGACTTCAACTTTTTGGATACTCCTCATGAAATTTTGCTGGGCGATCTACAGCACCCAAGCCCAGGTTGGACGATCTGGTTTTAGAGGGAATCTAAATCTCTTGGAAATCTTCGTCATGTTTTTCCATCCGGGACACTCAAACCAGTTGTCTTCCCCAGAATAAGCTTCCCTTTTTGTTGTTTTGCTTTTTGGGGGTCCCTTTGTAATCCACCGACCAGGCAAACAATACACTGGGGTCCTAATTCCAGCCAAGTGTTTTTTCTTGTTTCCACTCCCTAGGAGCCCAAGACCCTAAATATATGAGGGCCTTTGACCCCCTTTGCGACCTCAAATAGTGAGGTCCAAGGGGCTCCTAGGGAGGGGACGAAGACCCCACACCTGGCGGAGCCGGGCGGTGTTCATAGGTGTCCTTGGTTGTTTTGGTCGAAAAGTCGATGGGTTTCGATTCCAGGTGGTTTTTTCTCATCTACCAGGGAAATTTATGCATTTCCCCAAAAAGGACGCCTATGGCGGATTCTTTTTTTCTCGGCGCCAGGACTACAACGCCTACCTCCGCCACGAGACGCTCCGCGCGGCGCTGCAGATCTACCAGGAGACCCGCAGAGCGCGTGAAGCCTTATTCTACCCTCTCTGCTGGAGGTGGTTCTCGGTTATTGTTGGGACACATTTTGCTTATTTTCGCTTGTGGTGGTTTAAGATCATAAACTGGTTATTCGCTTATTCGCTTATTCGCTTGGTTGACATCCAAATCCACTCAACTGCTAAAGATCATTTTTGTTTTGCCCCCCTTTCAACGTCAACCTAGGGTTCGGAGGTCTCAAGATCTGGGTGTTGGAAGGTCCATATGAGCTCGCCTTTCGGTGGTTGGAAGGGGAGCAGCCGGACTCGGAGCCGAGGAAGCGCGCGTTTAAAAAAGGGAGCCTTTGTTCAGGACCATGGAAAAGGAAAGTCGCCATTTTGGGGGATAAAGTCGCAAAATTAGGTGACCCGTCCTGAAGTGGCACCAGAAAAGCTCAGAAGTTCAGTGGCACCGAGTCTCTTTTTCTCCAACTTTTCTTCTGGTGGCCCACTAAAATGGTCTCCCCCAAAAAGGGTTCCCTTGTTTGTCCAGGGTGACTGAACGATGTCAGGGTGTGTCCTGTTTTATGGGACCCCCAAAATGGCCTGTCCCAATTGTGTTTAACCAGAGAAATTATGATGAGAATGCGTAAATTCGGTGGCCGGAGGTCGGTGTTCCTTTTGGTTTTCCTTTGAGCCAAGGTGAATTGGGTTCTGCAAGGGCTGTGAAGAACTAGAACGGGGTTGTGGGGTACTTGAAACCAAGTTTAGTCATGACCGTAACCGTTTTGGTAGCTCCAAGAGTCAACGGAGGGCATGATTCTTGGGTATGGGTCAAACCGACACTACCCGAAAAACCGCCGGTTTGAGATCCACGTTTCCATTTACCTAGACTCTCCATGACCCTGTAAATTCCGTTTACCTTGACTCTCCATGTCCTTGTAAAAGGGGTCATGACCCGAATCTTTCTTTTGGGTAATGACCAACCATTTTGTTAAGGGTCAGAAGGAGAGTCCAGGTAAATATGAGCTGGCCTTTCACCCCCAAAGGCGGCCTCCAATAACGAAATCAGTCCAAGGGGCTAGAGTTTTAAGGGCAAGCCACCACGTTTGCATGCACCAGGGCAACCCATTTTGAGGTGTCCCCGCCAACACTAAATCAATCCTAAACCAACCCTAAACCACCTAAGCCAACCCTGTACCAACCCTAAACCAACCCTGACCGTAAACCAACCCTAAACCAGCCCTAAACCAGCCCCAAACCAGCCCTAAGCGATGTTTGACCGCCACCGGTGCTGCTTGGAGCCAAGACTGCAGGAGGCGGAAGCGGAGGAACAGGCCCGCGGAGCGCCGGATGTTCTACGATTTTGTGGGGGGGCGGGTTGGTGGGGGAAGCCAAAAGGAAGCCTGGCCTCTTTCTTTTAAACACGTGGATATATTTTTTAACGTCCGGGGGTGGCACGTCCCCTAGGGCGTGGCATTGTGTTGTTCGATGAACCTGAAGATCATGAACCCTCCCTAAGCAGGGCTCCTTAAAAGATACATGTTGCAGCCATTTGACACATGTTGCTTTTTCAACACCAAAATAAAGTTGGACACCAGCATTGACAAGGCGGAGTGTTCAGGTGAATGTACGGATCCCTGCTTTGGGTCGATGGATTGCTCTTTGGGCCCTCGGTGGCTTTCCATTGGGCTGAGTTGAATTGGTCGGGGTTCTCCATTGCTTCGGGTCCGCGGTATGCATTGGAGGGGTCACATGTCATGACCCGGGACGTGGGATTTTGGGTCGGGGGGGGCGGTTGAAGGGAAAAACAACTCCGTTCTGCGCCTCCTGGAAGGGCTCCTTCGTAGCTAAGGAGGTACTTAGACCCCTTCTTGCCCAGGTCTTTGGATTGTCTGGAAGGAAAACCGCCCAATGTTTGCAGACAGATTGTGGAATCCCATTTGGGTGAGTGGTTTAATGGAGGGTCCTTTCGTACCTTCTAACTTGTTTTCACCTCCCAAAGCCATGCAAGGTACACAGATTCTCTAAGAAAGGAAAGCCGCCAATGTTTTGAGACACACACACACACACACAAAGGCTTCAAACTTGGGCAGTCCCTGGGAGCAAGTTCACCCTGGGCGAGTTCAGAGCTTTGGCTCATCTATGAATGTCCCTTGGGGCTATTCCTTGTGACAAGTTTGTGAAGTATCTGGATACCCACCTCAACCCCAAGTTTGTGGTTTGGTGTGGTTGTTTTGATGTTACGGGGGTACCTTTTCAATCGGTGGGTTTAAATCACTAAACCACCAAGCCTGATTGCCTGACCCTGGTTTTTGCGGCTTTGCCCATGTTGCTTTGGTGTAATTATTTGGGGATGCCCGCCCCCGGTTTGTGGGGGAGATATTCGCCAAGAGGGCATTTTCCCCTTCGGGCTGGCTTAGCAACTTGTTTCTGTTGGCCCGTTTTAATGGAGTTCCTTTTGGAGGAGTGAGTCGTCAAAGGGGAAGCATACCTGGAGTCTATATGACCCTTGAAAAGTGGGGTCATTACCAAAAAAAAAGGTCATGCGCCCACTTTTAAAGGGTCATGGAGGCTGGATTCATAGGACTTTCGGTGACGCTCGCCGTGGCTTGCCAGCCTCTCCCCATGGGAAACGAGAAAGCAAGGGAAATCAAGTGAAACCCAGTGAAATCAAGTGAAACCCAGTGGAACGAAAAGCAAAGGAAAGGGAAACGGAGTGAAACCCAGCGGGAAACCCAGTCACACCTCCCAGGGTACCCAGGCGATGCCTCGGGAGCTGGCAGAGAAGGTCTGCGAGTTGGTGCGCCAGAATGCGGGGAAGCTGGAGGCCATGCGCTTATTCAGACCAGTGGAAACATTGGTGGATACACCATCTGGGTATGGCTCAAAAAGAGCTGGGGTTACGCGGGCTTTAGTCTTTGGTTCCATAAACCAAGGTGCCATTTTGGTACCACATCCATCTCTGAATAACCCTTCCTCGTGGAAACATTGGTGGGTGGACCAAAGGACCCTTGCCATCTTTTCGGCTAGTCAAAGGACAGCCAAGGGGTCGGAAGGATCCTGGAAGGACCCTTGGCCAAAGGTTTCCCTGGAAAAAAAAAACAACAGACCCTCGAAACTGGGAGAAAAAACAAAGCGCCACCATAGGTAAGTTACGTTTTGCTCATGTCAGTGTCCTTTTCTCCCTTCCTTACAATCTTGATGGTGTACACCGCAAGGGGAGGTGCTTTCAAATGACCTACTGTGGATGGACGAAATCCATTTCGCACCACCCAAGAAGCAATGGGGAAGCATTGTTTGTTGGTATTCACAGGGGAATCAGATTTTTTTGTTTTTTTGGTGCAGGATTTCGTCCATCCACCGTATTTCACAAGCACACACGTACACCGTTACCTTTTTTTTAAATCCCCTGTTGGCCAATGGGGGTTTGCCAAAAAGAGGGCAAATGCCGGGAAAGGACATCACCCCATATGTTTGGGTTGCAAGGCGTGTGTCCTTTCTTTAGGGCACTCCTTGTTGGTTGGATTAAACCAAAATGAACAACAGGAGAACAAAGCCCATTTGGGCAACAGAATACCTCAGTTGTTCAAAGACGACCGGATCTGACCTTTTGGTTTTCCAATTTTGGTCTACTTTTAGTAGAGGTCCCAAAAGGTTAACCTTTTATTTCCAGGTCCATTTGGGCAAAAGAAGACACATCCAGGTATTGGTGTTCAATGCTGCAACATGCACTCCTTGCGTCACTCTGACCCCGTCGAGCTCGAGGATTTTCCAGAGTTCCGCTGACTTTACTCACTTGTTGGGTTCGGAGTTTGGGCCAGGACTTCAAACTCTTTGGCAAGGCTAATTTAGTGCCCTACGTGTCATGACCACTCCAATGCACACCTGCGGACACTCCAAGAAAGAACCCCAACCAACTCCTCAGGTGAAAACAACCAGTTTTGAGGGCCTTCCGATCTCATTCTCTTCAGGAATCAATCTCTTCAAGAAAGTCTTCTCTCCCCTGTTGAAGGGTGGCTTCTGAAGAGAACGGTTTGTGAATGGAATTGGAATCAACCCTCAGAACCCTGGGGACCACTGGATGGGCCAAAGAGGTCTAAGGTCTAGGCTCGGTTTTGGGTGGGTTTTGAGTCGAGGGCCGGTTTTGGGTGTAGGGTCTAGGGTCTGGGTTTAAGGTCTTGGATGTCCAGCATCTAGGCTCTTCCAGGGCCAAAGATGTCAAACCAAAAAAAAAGAATAGCCTCAGAAAACACAAACAGCCAACAGCCTGTTTTCTGGTAGCCAAAGATGCCACAGATGCCAAAACCAAAAAGTTGACCACCAGAGTCTCGATGGTTGGCCTTAGGGGACTCGAGGATCTGTTTTTCCCTCGCTGAAGCCCAGACCTGCAGTGTCCTTTTTTTTGTTTGGTGTGTGTTGTTCTCTTCAAAAAAACCACCACCAAAATGGGGCCCCCCTGTTTGTTTCCTCGTTTTTGGAGGTAGGTGGATGGGTTTCCCTCCAAGACTGTCCGCCTTCCCTTCTGGGTTGTGCTTTTACCCATTTAGGTGTCTGATTTGCGTTTGTGGGAGCGCGTGTCCCTTCAACCAAGCAAAAAAGGACCAGACAACGGCGTCCTGTTCTTTCTTTTCGTGTGTGCATCACCCAATCACACACAAAACAGTGGTTTGTTTGCATTGTTTTTTGGGGTGAGGGGGTGGGTTGCCCTCAACATCAACGAACCCAAACACTATTAGACCACCAGGCGCTTTCGCGTTTCGTGACCAGTTATGGCTTCAAAATTCCCCACAGCCCCATTCTGAGTATTTAGGCTCCATACGATTGAGACGGCCATGTATGACGGCCAGGGCTTAATCAACCTGGCAAATCTATATGGTGTACTTAGAGTCTCCATGACCCTCAACAAATGGGGTCATGACCCCTTTCTTTAGGGTAATGAGCCCAATGTTTATTTCTCAAGGGTCATGGAGACTCCAGCTACGTGTTTTATGTTCAGGTGCAGGTGTCCAAAGGGGTTCTGGCCCCTTGCCGGAAACACCACCCGTCCTTGTTTTGCCACCGCAAAACAACACCCGTCTCCGCACGACACATCGGCCTTTCCTGGTTTGGAAGGACACATGGCCATGGGTCAAAATCCCGTACCCCCAGTGAACATCCCAATCCCCACTAATATAGAGTAAAATGGGTGGTGCACCTACCCCAAAATGATACCATTGGTTTTGACCCACAGCCACATGTGAGGCTCGTCCACAAACACGGGCCCTCCATCGCCGAAGCTTCGGTTCTGCGCACAAGGCTCCAACCATCCCCTTGTCATCGAGCCCATAAGGGGGACCTCCATACTGTGGTTGCGAAATCCAGAAATCGCAGCAGCTAACAAACCCAGCGGAATGATTCGATTCCCCAACGTAAATACCAACATAATGGTTGCAACCATGGTTTCAAGCTGGTGCATGATTTCGTCCATCCACGCTATTTCCCCATGCCCAATGCAATGTCGGTGGTCACAAAAGGGGATGTTGATCCTTCTGTTTCTGACCTCTTGTTACCGCTGCAAACGGTGAATGATATTCTTACTTGCCCAAAGCGAATCTTCCGGATCTGACCTTTTGGCTTTCTGGGTTTGGTTTCTATTTTTAGTCACCCCAAAAGGTCCACCTTTTATTTCCAGGTCCCTCAGGGGCAAGTGAGTATTGGGTGGACCCGATGGGGATGGTGTGGATGGTTTGGCAGATGGCGCCAGCGATTTTCTCCATGTACCACGCATGGCACAAAGTTCGTAGGCTCTAAAAATAATAATTACGCCCCTCAGGGAACCCACCCCTGAAGCAACCTAATGTTGACCCCATATGAGCCACAATCAAAATTCGGGTAAGTGAAGGTTAGGGACGATCCCAGCCATAAAGAGCTGCGGAATTCCGCCTTCTTAGTTCTTGAAGCATGGTTCTGGGTCGACCATTTTTGTACCGGGTTTTGATTGTGACTCATATGAACCAACCCCAGCTTAAGAGGGCGGTGCTTTTCTTTTCCTGGGTCCGGTGGTTGGAATCAGGCCACTTTCGGAGGGGCCCCCACCCCGCTTTTTTTGATACACGGGTGGGTTGATGAATCTTTGCATTTTGCCAAGGGATGTTAGGACTGAATAACTTTTTTCCCACTAAGAGGCTGGTTTTCCATATTAAACCACTACAAGTTCGTCGCTTTGAGCAGGGGTTCGCAGATTTCGCCGCCGAGAGAATATAGGGGTCGACACCTCCCCGCCCCCGACCCATCCGGTCCGAGCGCGATCGATAGGCGCGGTGCCGGGACCTGGCGGCCCAGGTGCCGGACAAGACGCTGCTGCCCGGGGTGCCCTCCGGCGCGCCTCGGCTCTCGGCGGGTCGACGGCGAAAGCGACGGGGACTCGAGGACAGGAGTCCGAGTGGGAGCCGAGGTAGCCGGAGGTGGAAAAACTGGGAACCCGGAAGCCATCCAGTTACCTGGGGTTTTGGGGTTGGGGAAACTTGGAACCGGCAAACATCCATTGAGCTAAGGGCTAACATGGGGAAATTGACCTGGGGTTTTGGGGTGAACATGGGGAAAAAATGGAACCCAGAAAAACAACATCCTGTAGAAACACTCTGAACAAAAATGTCTGGCGGTTGCATGGGTTTCTGAAACAACACGTGTCCCAAAAGGAAAACCATCGAAACCCAAAGCATCCATCGACCTGTTTTTTTTTGGTGACTGGGGTTGCTCCCCTTGAGATGGGATTGAAACTTGTGTTGACGGGCAAAAGCTGGAACAAAAACCATTGCCCTAGAACCCCTATAAGGCCCCCCTGACCCTCAAAGGCCTCAAAGAATGAGGTCTTGGACTCCCAGGGTAGAGTTGAGCACCAGATTCGGAATCCATGAGCAGGGTCCCCCCTCTGGCGATTGGAAAACCTTGCTAGTTCTTAGCAGGGAATGAGGGAATGGCCTCTATGAGCATGGATTCCCCAGATTCATCCCCACAACCCTTGGTGATTTCACCTATTACCATACTAGGTTTGTATAGTCTCCAAAACCGTTTTACATAGGCTAGTCTGAACATGCAGCAGAATCTGTGCACTGTATTTGTTTGTGTGCTCCAGATTCCGAGATGTGGGCCAAGACAACCCCCTAACATCCCTGCCTACTTGGATGTTCGGCCAAGTTAGCAAGTGGTCAGCACTGAACGGGGGACTATAGGCGCGTTTAGGCTACCAATTAACTATTTTGCCCGAATAACCAAGTGGCAATGTTTTCTTTGGATGAATCCGACCATACTGCTCCGGGGTGGTTCCCCTTTTAGTAAGAAAAGGAACTATGGTTCCCTTGATCAGGGTATGTCAGGGTCCTCCTTTTGGGTATGGGTCCAACTTAAACCACCACAAAACCGCAGGTTTAGTCCTTGTTTCCATTTGCCAGGGCAAGCCAGTTTGGGGAACCTATGTTTGACCCACACTCATTTGGCCGAACGCGCAAGCGGCCATGGGTCAAAATCCCGCCCAGTGAACCTCCCAATCTCCGCTACCGAAAGCCCCAAAATGGGACCCGATTGGTTTTGAACCGTGGCCAAATGATGTCAAAGTTTCCTTGTCAGCAAGTAGCTAAGGGTGGAAGTAATGGTACATACCCCTTGTTCATACAGGTCCCTTTGCTAAGTACACCAAGATACTAGGGTGGAAGTACATACCCCTTGGTTTGCACAAACACCGCCAAGTCTCAAACCCAGCCGCTCCGCCGAGGTGCAGGCGAATTACTCCGGCATGGCCCAGCACTTCCGGAGCCTCAGACCCGACGCGGAGCGCGAGGAGGATGGACCAAACCGGGGTGAAGCCCATAAACTCGGTGACGCGACTGGGGGGGGCGGCTATGGTCTCACTTGAGTTCATGGACTTTGGCGCTTTTTTGGGTTTGGACCATTTTTGCGCAAGCAACTGGTTTGGGCCATCCACTCAGGAAGTGAGTGGTGGACACAAAGATCGACGATTTTGCAACCGCTTTGTTTCGGGTATTTGGAGTCTCCATGACCTTCTGAAAACTGGGGCCATCGGTAAGCCCCGGCGCTTTGCCGCCAATGGACGTAGTTTCGTCGTCGGACGACGAGGGTCACGTCTTTGGGGGGATTTTGTTTGGAGATCAGCTTTCTCTAACTGGTGGTTTGGATTGGTGGTTTGGTGGTTAAGGGCTGGTTTCCTTGACCCTCTACAAGAAGCAAGGGTACCAATCCAAACCACCAACTAGGACTAGGGGCTACCTGAGAAGAAGGGAGGTGTGACGTGCCGTTCTATGTCTTTTCTTCGGGAATACAATGTAAAGCCTATTTACGTTCTTTACCCAGTGGAGATCCACCGGGGTTTTGAGAATGGGCGCTTAACTAACCTCGTGAATAATTTGGGGGTTCCCCACAACATATGCATCAACCAAGGGGTTAGTGAATCATGACTTCCCCTTGAGCCCCATTGTCTTCAAGGGAAACTTGGGGCCACCACCCCTTCTTGCTCTCGAAGGGCAGTGATTTGCCCTTGAACTGTCGACGCGTTGTGGCTGGTTCACTCTGATTGGCATGCATGAATGCGCTTTGAGACCAAAAGGCACCATTCTCAGTAGCCTTTGAGGCACGTGTTGAGAACGGTCATCTGCAGATTGACATGGACACCTGCAAAAAACACTGGCAGCCATTTCTAGAGGAATCTTATGTTTGAGATTGGACTGCAAAGGCAAACCGCATAGATCACTGCTACAAATCTGCGGCGAAAGCAGAGTAGTGTAGTGTACGAGAATCTGAACGACGGAATATTCACCTGAACTCGTTTTGTTTGCATTTGAACAAGGAGTCCATGGCATGGGAGTGTGGACACAACACTGCTTCTCCCAGGGGGCTACGTCCAACGTGCCAAAGCAGGGGCCAATAGGTTTCCTTGAAACGTCCCAAAATAGTTGTTTTTTTGGTGGGAAACATCTGATCTGACAGCTTTTAACCAGATTCTGCCTCTTTTCGGGACCTTTCTCACATCACAATCGATAGGTGTTTTTTGGTTCGTGCTTTTTTTGACTTGACTGCTATTGGGCAACGGATCTTTAGACTTCCACTTTTTGGTTGAAATCAAGTTGGGTTTTCCAGTAAAACCTCCCCAAAAAGTGAGAAACTTTTTGCAGGGGGGTCAACGGCAACCAAGTTGAGAGAACCACTCTTTGGTCTGTTTGAAGGGACACCAACAACGAATCGGAAGCCATGTTGGGGGGTAAGCGAAGAGCCAGCTGCCCGTGTGCGGGAAAAGGGTCGGTGGATCTTCTGGGGCCCCGTGCCATTTTTTGGATCCACTTCTCAACCACTGCTTTTTGAACACTTGGAATTTGGGACATGGTCAGCAGTTGGGGGTGCTGGATGTGATGTTCCTTTTGTTTCCCTTGCGAATTTCAAGCAAGAAAGAAAGGAGAGCCTAGCTGTTTTGTTCTCAAGCGAATGGTGTTCGATGTGTTGCTCGTTCGCGGGGGTCTGAGCCCTGCAGGAAGTCGAGGAAGCTGAGTGCCGCATTTGTGGCAGTGGAAGAGAGGACCGCTTGACAGTGAGATGTTTGGTTTGAAGCACGTCCTAGCGCGACTAGGCAGTTGGGGCCATTCTTGAGCTAGTTTTTGCCATACAGGGGCTCGGATTATTGAATTCTGTCAATTCCACCTTTTCTCCCTGCTCGTGTTCCTTGCCCGTGTTCGCTCTTCGCGCCGCTCGCTGTTCTTTCCACTCAGAAGAACCCCCGCGGCTCCGACTCTGGCGTCCTCTTGGTGTCCATGTCAGCTTGATGCAAGATCCTGTGTTGACACGCGCCGGGTCTATGTATTTATGTTGTTCATCGTTGACATTTCGATTTCCTTGGTCATGTCTTGTATCCAGTAGGATTAGATCGAAGCCTTCGTCAGCGGAAGATAGCGGTCATCCAAGATGAACCAGATGTGTCTAAACTTTCACAGCACCGCCATGTTTGCGCCTGCCATTGTCATCCGCGCTGCTACAGTGGAGGGGCAAAATCCTGCACCAGCTGGGAGCCTGCGGGACAAACCACCAACTAAACTGGTGCAGGATTTTGTCCATCAACAGTATATGCACTTTAATGTTTGCACATATACACTCATACATGCGACAAGCCTACCTATAGTTGTTCCTTAAACATCACCCGCCCTAAAAACTCATCGAAAAGTGGCCGAGCAAGGTGAGGTTCATAAAGGCACTTGTGACCCGTTTAGAATGGGGCCAGTTTCAAAAGCTAGGGATGTTGGCACTCAACAACTGATTTGCCCATGTCCGAAATTCCCAGTGTCCAAAAAGCGTGGTTGGGGGGGAACAAAAAGGTTGTGAACTTCCAAGATTCGAAGACTCCAACTCCAGGTGAGTCGCATCCTCCAAACGCCTGGTAATTGGAGGGAAGGGACAATCCCCCGAGCCATATATACATGGGTGCAAAATCACACCCCCCCAATCACATCGACAGGCACTGAAACACATTGTAGCCAATGGAATTTAAGATGTTTGTGCTTCTTGATCAAAGTTGGAGGTGTTCCCTTTAAGCAGGAAAGCAACTTGAAGTGAGCCAATGACGGCATTTTCTGGATCTGATATTTAAGGCAATCCCTGGGAAGACATTCCCAACACCCAGACTCGGTCATTCCCTACTGTGGATGGACAAAATCCTGTACCACCTAACAAACCCTGAAAAGATTTGATTTTTCCTGTAACTGCCAACCAACGTTATGGTTTCAACCATGGATTCCAAGTGGCGCCGATTTCCGGATTTCGTAACCATCCACAGTTATCACCAGCCAGTTTTTCGCTCTCCCAGATGGGTGACTCGTCGCAGGATGGCGAGCTTTTGGAGCCCTGCGGCGGGGCTCCCCAACTCGAAGCCGGAGGAACCGTTCTGCTGGGAACATGGCTGCGGGGCATAACCTACTGTGGATGGACACAATCCTGCACCGCCCAAGAAACAATGGAGGACCATTGTTTGTTGGTATTTACAGGGGAATCATCATTCCCAAGGTTTCTTAGGTGGTGCAGGATTTCGTCCATCCACAGTATGGCTCCATTTTGGGGTGGATGAACATCCATTTGCCAGCGATTTTGATGTTCACCAGTACAGGGTTGGTCAAATTCAACCGGACCACAGGTTTTGGTCCATGTTGCCACTTACCAGGGTTCCCAATATGGATGTGGTGATCAAAACGCATGGGATCCCATTTTGGGAGCTTTCGGTGCACCCATGTTAGAACCTATTTTAGTGGGGGTACAGGACTTGGGTTTTGACCCATGGCCATATATGTAACTTAAGGGTCAGAGGCTCACTGGGATACCTCTGGAGCAGAATGTTGACCCCCTATAACTCTAGGGGTTGGTTTCCCGTTTTTCTTCAACCATCGTTCTTTTCAAAAACCGGTCGTTTTCACTGGGTTTCTTGAGGTGTTCTACAAAGAATGGGGAAGGTACCCTAGAACAACCCCTGTTTTTTGTCGTTTTGTTTTTGTTTTGGTGGGGGTGCTCCACACATAACAGCGACCGCCAAAAGTGGTCCGAAGCCATGGCACCTGTTGGCTTGGGGGGTTTGATCACGGGAACTTGACGTCGGACATGGACTCCATCTCTCCACAAACCGCTGGCTCACAAAATTCGGAGCCAGTTTTAATGGATGGGACACCCCCACATCAACATGGATCCCAAACAACTATCACGTTTAGAGCAGACCAGTCCATCCTTGACCCAGATTGTCACGGAGTTGGATGAATCCCAAATGGAAGGCTTTCCCCTAGCCTCCAAATAGTCCTTTCCTAGACTTGGACCTTGGACTCACCATTTTTTCGGGTATCGAACCGGATCGTGCTCTTCACACAGATCAATTGGAAGGGCTTCCTGTCGACACTTACTGCCCATCAAGCAGTTGCAAGTTCTGCTTTGTGGGGTTATCTTCTGTCACTTTGAGTCGGAATCCCTTCAAAACCGGTTGGTCAAGAGTCGACACTAACATCCCGATGCATATGATGTTCAGCCGCTGAGTGCTGGGATTCTTAGACTTGAAGCCATGAAGTATCTTACTTTTTTGTTTTTGCTCCCAAAAGCCATCCTCATGAGGCACTTGGACCCTCTGGGATGGGTTGAAACCAGTTGGGCACAGTCGGTTGGAGAAATCCGCTTGGGCAGCGTTGGGTAAGGGCCACGGTGGAAAACAAGTTCACGTGACTCACCTGAGTTCGTGGCCATTGACTTTTGGACCATTTCAGTCGCATAAAAGAAAGAGGTTTGGACTCTTTCTTGGCCGTTCCACTCAGGAAGTGAGGTGGCTCTTGTATATGTGAATCATGAACTTGTGCTCTGGTGAGGTTTAGCTTTGGCCAATTGAACGTCACCTTGGCGCTTGGCGCTCAGCGCTCAGCGTCACTCGCCATCTTGACTCCAGGCCTTAGAAAGTCGCCGTAGATCAAATCGAGCCATGCCCACCGAGCAGAACAAGGCTCAGGACTTGCTGCTTCCACTGAGTGCGGGGACACGAACATGTCTGTCCTCAACCAAAAAACGGGAACCGGCTGCTTTCTTTGTTGGATTCGTTTTGAGAGTGCCTTCTGGTAAAACTTATGGGGTTATATAAATTGGTCATTACAGACATGATCATCCCATGACCGTCATGAGGTAATTGGGTTTCTATGCCATTTTCTATTTATTCAGACCGCCGCGCCCGCTGGGTGCGCATAAGGTAGGCTTGAATGCTGAGTTTTACTTCTGGGAACCATGAACCTATTTTCGACCTCACCCACAAGACTTGCTTTAGACGTCTTGTGCAGGGGATCATTGCCATCAACAAGTGAACCAACTGCTCAGTTGTTCAGTGGCACCCTTTTCCTTTTTTTTCTGGTGGCTGCCCCACTAAAAAAAATGGTCTTCCCCCAAAAGGGTTCCCATTTTTTTCAGGGTCACTGGACAACTGAGCAACTGGCCTGGAAGAAAAAAACGCTGGCACCTGGCCAGGAGGAGAAGGGTACGACCTCGTTCTGGCGACGGATGGGCTTCAGCAAGAAGACCGCGAAAGAGCAGGTGGAGCTGCGGATTCGTGCGGATTCGTCGTTGTTTCAAACTGGTAGGGTGGGTGTCTTGTACCTGGAGTCCCTATGACCCTGTGAAAGTGGGGTCATTAGCCAAAAGAAGGGGTCATGACCCCTTAAAGGGGCATGGAGAGTCTAGGTAGAGTTGATACCCTTTTTGGGCACTTTGATCGGTAGTTTGGAACATGGATCGCATTTTGGTGGGGGGAGGGTGCCTCACAGCGGCGACATGACGCCACGATGCGCACAAGTTTCCAGGCCTGCAACTTGCGGCAGGAGTTTGCCCTCGGAACGTGGGAGCTTGTCTTTAAAACCCCCGAAAGGGATATGCTGGAGGCTCAAGCGGAATGGTTGCATTTATGAATTCTACTTTGCATACTACTTAGATGGTCGGGGAGGTAGTGGTACCAGGGCAACCCACCAAAGCCATGGTCGTAATGTCTCCCAAACATCCCTAAGTTGGCTACAACCAGGCTTACAAACCACTTTGCTACAGCTCTCTCTGACCTAAGTATAGTGGCCCTACCGTAAGGCAGGCAGCTAGCATCCCGCGCACTTGAGTTTACACATATATCAGGCTTCAACTCCAGCATTGCGGATTCTGAACATGACAAGGGTGCTGCAACTGCTGCGTGCCGGCAAAACAAGGCAGCAGTGGCTGCAGCGGCAGCAGCAGCAGTCTCGACCATGGCATAAACTCATCAGGTCTTTTGAGAATGGATCCGCACACAAAAAAGTGCACAGAGCTCACGGAAGCACGCACGGAAAAGCTTTAGTTGGGCCCTTGCGAGCCCGCAAAGTGTAGCAAGTCCTTTTTCTTTGGCTTTCAGCATCGCCTCTTTGGCCCTTTTCGGCGAGCGTCTTTCTGGGAAGGGGGGTAAGGGGAAATATTGGGAACACCGTGGAAGTCGGTTCCAGCGGTTCTGCCATGTTCTGCCGGAACTTTTTCTTAGCGAATCGACCTTTTCACCTGCTGGTCTCTCTGCTGTTTGATCCATTTTTGTGATGGCCCCAAGTGGTTGAGCTTTGTTTATTCAGGTCCCTTCGGCGAGTGCGGTTTGTAGTGACTCTGTTTGTTACCACCCGCTTTGGAGAGAAAGCCAGGCGAGTACATCGACCAAGGAGTCCTCACCCGATGGCAGCGGCCCTACCCTGCTGCAAAGCATGAAGCAGGGAGCTGCCACAGCGCAGGAGAAGACGGTTGAGGGGTACGAGGCTGCCAAGGAGAAGGCTGCCACCCAGGACACGTCTTCCTCCAGCGAGCCTTCCATGACGGAGCAAATGAAGCAGGGAGCTGCCGTGGCGCAAGAGAAGACGGTTGAGGGGTACGAGGCTGCCAAGGAGAAGGTGAAGGCTGCCAGCCAGGACACGGAGCGAGCGTCTTGGCGCTTGAGGGGTACGAGGCAGCGAGCCGTCTTCCTCCAGCGAGCCTTCCATGACGGAGCAAATGAAGCAGGGAGCTGCCGTGGCGCAAGAGAAGACGGTTGAGGGGTACGAGGCTGCCAAGGAGAAGGTGAAGGCTGCCACGCAGGGCACGCCTTCCTCCAGCGACCCTTCCATGACGGAGCAAATGAAGCGGGGAGCTGCCGTGGCGCAAGAGAAGACGGTTGAGGGCTACGAGGCTGCCAAGGAGAAGGTGAAGGCTGCCAGCCAGAATCTTCCTGCGGAGCGAGCATGACGGAGCGATGAAGACGGAGGAAGCAGGGAGCTGCCGTGGCGCAAGAGAAGACGGTTGAGGGGTACGAGGCTGCCAAGGAGAAGGTGAAGGCTGCCACCCAGGGCACGCCTTCCTCCAGCGACCCTTCCATGACGGAGCAAATGAAGCGGGGAGCTGCCGTGGCGCAAGAGAAGACGGTTGAGGGGTACGAGGCTGCCAAGGAGAAGGTGAAGGCTGCCAGCCAGGACACGTCTTCCTGCAGCGAGCCTTCCATGACGGAGCAAATGAAGCAGGGAGCTGCCGTGGCGCAAGAGAAGACGGTTGAGGGGTACGAGGCTGCAAAGGCTGCCGCTGAGAAGCCGTCTTCTGATGGTGGCCCCTCCATTATGGACAGGATGAAGCATGGAGCTGCTTGGGCACAAGAGAAGACAGTGCATGGCTACCAAGCTGCAAAGGCTTCTGTCAACGAGCCGTCTTCTGATGGTGGCCCCTCCATCAAGGATAGGATGAAGCATGGATCTGCTTGGGCACAAGAAAAGACGGTGCACGGCTACGAGGCTGCAAAGGCTTCCGTCAACGAGCCGTCTTCTGATGGTGGCCCCTCCATTATGGACAGGATGAAGCATGGAGCTGCTTGGGCACAAGAGAAGACAGTGCATGGCTACGAAGCTGCAAAGGCTTCAGTCAACGAGCCGTCTTCTGATGGTGGCCCTTCCATTGTGGATAGGATGAAGCACGGAGCTGCCTGGGTGCAAGAGAAGACGGTGCACGGCTATGAGGCCGCCAAGGAGCAGGTGAAGGTAGCCACGCAATCATCGTCTGGAAGCGCTACTCAGGCTTCAGTGGGGTGTTCTTTTTCCTTCGGTCGGTCACGCTTGGCGTTGCTTCAAAGGGAAACAGTGCATTTCGATCCATTTCGAGACTCCCATATTTGATATTTGGAGATACCCTCCCTCCCGTTGCCATGGCAACTGAAACGGGGTCCCTTCAAAAGGAATTCGATCTTCCAGGTACCTCCCCACAGGTGACATGTTAGTTGGAGGAAGCGTAGAACAAAACACATTTCGGCCTTGCCTCACCGCCCCCCTTTTCCGCAATTTGAAAGGTCCCCCTTTCGACCTGTGCTGAACCGGTTTGTCCA